ATATATATATATATAAATGTAACTACTTTTGCAAGTTCAGTAGAAATCACTAATTTTTCTCCTTAGGAAATAACATGGTAAAAAATGGCAGCTTGCCCCCTGACATTTTGCTTTTCTGTTCACTTCCCTCATTTCCTGTTCTGGTGTCACAGAGATAATAAGCCACCTACAGTAATATAAAGGGGTCAATCATTGTCACCCTTCAACACCCTATAATTCATTCCACTATAGCAGGGGTGGGCAAACTCTAGCCCTCCAGCTGTTGTAGAACTACAAGTCCCATGAGGCATTGCAAGATTCTCGCAGCTACAGTCACGACTCCCAGAGACAGATGCATGATGGGTCTGTAATGGAGGGTCGGAGTTTGCCCACCCCTGCTCTATAAGCTCACAGCATATACCTGCCAACAACAGCATACAGCCATTGGCTTTATGGTGAAAATAAATGCTTTTTACTTGCTTAAAAATCCTATGAGCTCCCCCCTATGTAATGTTAAGGAGGGGGTGGTGGGAAGTTATGTTTACTCTAATTAACCCTGTCTGTGCTATGCTGGTAGATTTCATTATCAGAGGTAAACTAGATGTGATCACTATCGGTCCTTACAAAGGGTTAAAGCTTCCGAGGCATTGTATGTTAATGAGAGGAAGGTCAGTCTGCCCTCAGTTTGTCCTTGTACTTTCACAGTCAAACTGCTCAGAGTAGCTTGGAATCTGCACAAAGGCCTTCATCAAAGACACAGCTAAAGGTGCCCATACACCTTACAATTATCTGCAGATTTTCTGTGGTCAGATGGAAAAAGTGCAACAGATTGGCCCAGGTGGAGATTCCTCCATCCACACAGTAAGGCCTGGTTCACACCTGTACGTTTTGTAGCGTGTTCAACGCTCTACGAACGCTCTACAAAACGCTCAAACATGAAAATCCCATTGTTTTCTATGGGTATGGTTCACACCTTGCCGTATTTCAGCCCATCTGAACGCGCTACAAAACGGCCTACGCCTGAAAAGGTACATGAGCTTCTTTGCGGCGTTTTTGTTGCACGTTTCCATTGGGATACAGCCAAGTAGCCCTCGGAAACGCACGTTTGTCGCGCGTTTTTTACCGCGAATCGTGGTAAAAACGCGCGTCACGAAAAACGTGCGACAAACGCGCATATTTGATACGCCTAGGTGGGAACAGAGCCTTAAGTGTAGATGGAGGAATCTGTTGCACCTTTTCCATCTGACCATAGAAAATCTGCAGATAATTGTAAGGTGTATGGGCAGCTTAAAAGTAAGAAATATTTTTGAAAAAGTATTTTTAGGTATATGCTGTATGAATGGGAACACAAAACATATAGTGGAGTTTTCTCTTCAAAAATTTTACTTCAAAAGTGGAAATAAATTTTAAAGTGACATTTCTTTTCACCTGAAACCAATGAGATCACATGGCTAAAAATAAAGCTGCATGCACTATTTTTTGTAGCTCGCACTGGACCGGAACGCAGGCAGTGATGTGCCAAGCGTTCTGGTGTGGGCGATCCCAATGCAGGGGGCCTGGCTGCGGTGCCATTGACTTCAATGCACCGCCATGCCCCCCTCCTGCCCCTGAAAGCAGGAAACCGGCCAGGATGCAATACAGTGCATTCCAGCAGCTAAACGCGCTGGAATACACTGCATATGGTGTGAACAAACCCTGGAGGTTCTCAAGAGCACAGTGGCTTCCATAATTCTCAAATGGAAGAAGTTTGACACAACCAGGACTCTTCCAAGAGCTTGTTGCCCAGCCAAACTGAGCAATCAGGGGAGAAGGACCCTAGTAAGAGAGATGACCAACAACCTGATGGTCACTCTGAGCTTAAGAGATCCTGTGTGGAGATAGGACAAAGTTCCAGAAGGACAACCATCACTGCAGCCTTCCACCGATCTGGCCTTTATGGCAGAGTGGCTAGACGGAAGCCTCTCCTCAGTGCAAAACGGATGAAAGCCCGCTTGGAGTTTGCAAAAAAGCACCTGAAGGACTGACTGTGAGGAACAAGATTCTTTGGTCTGATGAAACCAAGATTGAACTGTTCAGTCTTAATTCTAAATGTTATGTTCAGAGGAAACCAGGCACTGTTCATCACATGCCCAATACCATCCCAACAGTGAAGTATGGTGGTGGCAGCATCATGCTGTGGGGGTGTTTTTCAGCAGTAGGGACTGGAGGACTGCTCAGGGTTGAGGCAACGCTGAATTAAGCAAAGTACAGACATATCCTCAATGAAAACCTGTTCCACAGCGCTCAGGACCCAAGAATGGGCCACAGGTTCACCTTCCAACTTGACAACGATCCTAAGCACACAGCCAAGACAATACAGGAGTGGCTCAGGGACAACTCTGTAAATGTCCTAGAGTGGCCCAGCCAGAGCCCTCACTTGAACCCTATTAAACATCTCTGCAGAGAGCTAAAAATGGCTGTCCACCGACTGTCCCATCCAACCTGACTGAGCTTGAGAGGATTTGCAAAGCAGAATGGCAGAAAATCCCCCAATCCGGGTGTGCAAAGCTTGTCGTGTCATACCCAAAAAGACTCAAAGCTGTAATTGCTGCCAAAGGTACTTCAACAAAGTACGGAGTAATACTTAAGTACGTGTGATATTTCAGTTTTTTCTTTTTCATAAATTCACAGACATTTCTAAAATTCTGTTTTCACTCTGTCATTATGGAGTACTGAGTGTAGATTAATGAGGAAAAAAAGAATGCAAGCAAATGTATCAGGCTGCAACATAACCAAACTGAAAAAACTGAAGGGGGTCTGAATACTTTCTGAATGCACTGTATAGGATGCCACTTGTTCCTGTGGCAACTGTCTAAAACGGCATTCCCCTCCCGGTGGAAAACTATCCTCTCACTTCCTGTTGAGTCTACAGGACCGGTGTTCTATCAAAAGCTCCAACTCCTCGAGATCTCTAACTGCCTGACTTCCCGTTTAGTTAGAACTAAGAGGTTTGGCCAAGAAGGCTGTACTGCACGTGTGCCACCCGTGGCATTTCCCTATACGCATATTACACAGCAATAAAGTATTAAAATGAACTAGGAACACAATAATCCAGCACGTTATTAATCTGAGTTGCCCCACTAAAGCAGAGCAAACCCTATTTTTTGCGTTTGCAGTGGAACAGAACGCTGGCAAAGTTTTGCCATGTGTCCGATCGGACTGCGAGCGGGGGTGCCATTGAATTCAATGCACCGCCATGCCCCAGAACGCAGGAGGAAGTTTCTTACCGATCGCGGTGCGTTCCAGCAGCTACCTCTCTAGAAAGTACACGCTTTCGGTGTGAACAAGCGCTCAGAGTGCATTTCCCTCACAATGGAGTATTATCTCACTTCCTGTTGAGCTTACAGGACAGGAAGTGGAAGGGTATCTACCTATGAAGACACAGATGACCAAAACAAAAACATTTTTTGGATAGAATTTAGCAATAGTAAGCTATAGAAAGAAGCAGCAGGATGAGAGTATTGTTTACCCTGGGTGGCAGAGGAGGCTTTCAGGGGGGTCCAGCCATCCCATGTAGAGGTGACATTACGGCCGCTGAGGGTGAAGCTACTGTAGTCTCTATGTTGGGAGAATTGGCACACGTTTCGCCCCCGGTGAATGCAATCGAAGAGGAAACAGCCGAGCCCCCGGGCCGATCTCTCCACCACGGCCGCCGAGCAGCTCCTCTCCAGACAGCACACCTCCAGACATTGCTTCCAGCTGTACACCTCCCCAGGAGCCTTCAGGAAGCTGGCCCCGGCCTCCAGAGAGTCCTTGGTACGGATGATGTAGTCCTCCAGCTGGTTAAAGTTACACAGATCCTCTCCTACATCTCCAGCCGGCCGGACCGCCACTTCTTGGAGCTGGCGCTGTATGTCAGTCCCGTCCCCGGTCTGCTGAGCATCCCTGCCATTACCGTGCTTGTGTCTGTCCTGCCATCCGTCCTCCTCCTCCTCCTGACCAGAGTCCTGCTGGTGCCTTTGTTGTTGCAGCTGTTTGCGGAATTCTTCCAGCAGCTCCTCCACCCCGGAGATCTGCGATCGAAGATCTGTCAGCTGCGGGGCCGGGGAGCCCGGGGAAACCCTCCTGCACCCCCCGATTTTGCAGCACAACAGCAGGCTGAGCAAACAGAAACAGGAGATCAATGGCCTGAAGGCCAGCACTGGGTTCTGGTACCCGGGGAAGGGGTAGATCATGCTGAGCTGACAGTGGGAAACGATCAATAGTCCGCTAGTTCCCTTGGATGCAAGCTGTTTACAATAAGAAGGGTACAGACATCATTGTGTCCAGGGAAGGGTTAGGAAGGCTACAATCCCTGGAAGAAGATGGAAAGATTGGATACAGGGAGAGGCCCAAGGACTGAGCATGGCGATCCTGTATCAGCTCACCCCGCCTCTCTCCAGCCCTGTGTACACTCTCTTCCCCCAGATAGGAGACAACTGTTAGGAGGATGCAGTGGGGGGTGAGGGAGTTCCTGCCATGCAAGGTGTAATCAGCACTCTCAGCGAGTGACAGTTCCCAGCTTAGCCCCGCCCTCCAATGACGTCATATCTAGCCAGTCATCTGTTGCTTCCATAGCCAGGATTAAACTGCTGCCATTCTAGTTATCTTCCATTACTGGACCATGAGCAACGCAGATCTCACACATCCATGTTTGAGCAGTTACATACATAGTAAAGGCCTCATTCACAATGACAGCATCAAACCTGCATTTATAGCACGTTCCTAAATGCATATAAGTGCATGGGATGATTTTCAATGGTATCAATCAGACTTTGTGTTTACCTGCATTCATTTTAACAGTGTTTATGGTTAGTGTTAGTGTTATGGTGACACTAAACTCAGGAATTAAATCTTAAAAATGCAATCAAATACCTATTAATAAACATGTACTTTATTTGTGTATCATTCGGCTGTAGATCCTCAAATCATCTCTAAATTGGTGCTGACACTGTCCTTCCTTCTGGAGGGTGGCTACTTTTGTTCCCCATGGTCCCTGTGTGTGTTGTACAGTAGCCACCGCTCCACGCTCACTACCATGATGGACTACAATCTCAATACAAATTAGTAAACTAAATGTGAGATTGTAGTCCGACACAGGAAAGAGCTTAGAGCGGTGGTTACTTTGTAAAATGTGCTTCTTGACGTACGTCACAGGACCCAGGGACTTACATTTGTTAAACCATACAGCCACCTTAGGTGATTGGACACTGGCAAATCAATCAAGCTCTTACGACAGCTCCATATAACCCCTCCCACTCCCAGTCTGCAAATGTTTGGCAGTAAGCAGTACAAGAGTGAACCATAGAAAACAGAGGAGAGGGTCCTGATGTACTCCAATAAATGGATTTTACAGGTAAGACAAAAATGCATTATTTTTTTAAATATACATGACAGGATATAGATAATTAAGTTCCTCAAAAGAGGGGTGGGTAACACAACACACAATGGCTAACAGGCCCGAGAAAAAGTACAACTTATCCCAACAGAAAACCAAAGCAGAAGGGCCAAAAGTTCAGAGGGCCACCTGCTGGACCTTGCAGCTAAATCTAGCATCTGCAGGGGCCCAAACATCCACCTGGTGAAACTTGGCAGAAGTGTAAACGGGACCAGGTAGCAGCCTTGCAGATTAGGCAAGATTAGGCCTCATTCACAATGACAGCGTCAAACCTGCGCTTTCGTGTAGGGCATAAGAAAGCTTACACAATGTCCTGGTTTAGGTGGAAGGCAAAGATAACCTTAGGAAGAAAGGAGGATGTAGGTCTCAGTAGTACAATTACCTTTGTGGATAACCAGAAAAGGCTCATTACAAGTCAAGGCAGCCAACTCCAAAACACAACTGGTAGAAGTGATGGCGACAAAGAAGGCAACTGAGTGAGTAGGGTCAAAGGGCTGTCTCTGCAAGGCTTAAAGGTTGGCTTCTGCAGTGCCAACATAAGTTGAAGTCCAGTGAATCCCACCCAGCCTGAATGCGGAGCTTCAGTGGTATGGAGTGAAATTGAGCATAGGAAACTACCTTGATGGAGGCTACAATCAAGCCCAGCACCTTAATGCAAAACTAAAAGGTCGGCGTCTACTGGACCATGAACTACAAGTATGAAAGCGGAGAGATAGGATCTTTTCCAGGAGATGGATGACCCCGGGACAGGGCCACCTCCAAAACCAGGTCCAGGTACTCCAAGCAATGGGAGGCTTCCAGCGATTAATTCTGGAGGTTCAGAACCCATCTGAAGCTCTGTAGGGTTTGTATTATCCGATGAATACCGGATGTCAAGGTTTCAGCCAACTGTCCTTTGACAAGGAGATTGTCCAGGTACTCCACCGTGGGGAGACTGAAGCAAAGCCAAAAGGGGGGCCAGCGCCTTGGTGGAGACCCAAGGCTCAGTGGTCAGATCAATTAGAAGGGCAAAAATGGTATCGTGCAAAAATGCATCCTTGATATCCACTTATGCCGGAAAGACTTACGGGTGAAGGGATGTGATGACAGAGCGGATAGATTCCATCCTGAATTTTTGGACTGGCAGGAACCTGTTGAGGATCTTGTGACTGAAAATAGGATGGACCCCCTCCTTTGCCTTGGGTACACTACATAATGGAGACAGCCTGTTCCTGGATTTAGGAGGCACAAAAGGGCCGGGACTTATGCCAAAATTAGGATCCTGGCTTGGATGTTGATCCTGAGGCTTGAGAGGGACAAAAGGAATGCTTCTTAAAGCAGAGCAAAGGATTTAGCCGCTGGAGGCTTGGACCGCTTATTTTGTGGTAGGACTGTGCTTTTGCTCCCCATTACTTTCTTGATATAAGTATCCAAGGATTCACCGAACAGGTGCTCCCCAGTAAAGGACATGCATTTAAGGCGCTTCTTGCAAAGGAGTTATGCAGACCAGTATTTTAGCCACTGAATCCATCACATATGGACAGACAAGGGACTCATCCTGGAGATGTGTATGAGGGTGTCTGCATTTAAACGCTAGAGAGCAGCAGGCTCTGTCAAAATATACAGGGTCCCTATCCATAGCATTTGACCATACAGAAAAGGTCTGACACACCATCATGGTGGCAACAGTAGGTTGTATAGCTGGGCCTGCAAGAGCAAATAAGGTTCTAAAGAGGGCTTCAAACTTTTTGTCCATGTGGTCGTTGAAAACAAGGATATCCTTTACAGGGACCTTTAACACATTTTTTTAAAATGTCCACCATTACAGCAGTAAATTCCTATCTGGATAGAGTAGAGGGGAGGGAGGGTGCCCAGGATAAAGGAGGGTGCTGAGGAGGGGAACAACGGGGTGAAAGAGCACAGTTTAGGGCCAGAAGAGCCAAAATCCTCCCCAGAATCAATGTTAGGTTGTGAGTCCCCAGAGCCTGACATCTATGCCTCCCTTCGCCTATAATCTGCCATTGGCTGAGAGGAGAATGCCTGGTGAGCCAATACCGTAGGCAGCAGTGGTAACCCAAAGCAGCAGTCAGTAGAAATGTTGACTCCCTCAGCAATGCAGTCACAGCAGCTGGCAAAGCCTGTTTAGCCAACTCAGCATGTGCCAGAAGAGGATAAATGATGGGCACATGCACAGTAGGAACACCCAGAGGGAGGCTGTGCAGGCCTGAACCCCAGGAAATGGTACCAAATGCAAGAAAAAGAGAAGGACTCCCTACCCATCACTGGAACATCACATTTGACTCACAGGGGAGGGGCAGAAAAGGGTAACCGAGTAGGCACAAGCCCTGACTTACCACCCTCAGAGCAGTGGCTGACTCCGCAGCACAGACACTTAAATGGGATGTGCCCCATCCAATGTTTTCCCTCAGTGAGCATATGCCCCTGAAGGAGGTCTTCAGGGACATAGCTCCACCACAGTGGACCATGGCCCTGGACCTGTAAAGCATCCTGCAGCAACTACACACAGAGCACAAGGAGCATACCCCACATAGGATCCAGTGTCCTGTGCACATTACAGACCAGCCCACAACTTCCTTCTGGTAGGGTATGAGTATGGTCGGCCAGGGATCTGACAATGAGAATATCAATCGGGATAGCTGCTGTTAGGTGCTGCAGTAGCTGTGAGCAGTATTAGGGATATTTGCTAGAAGATTCGAGTGGAAATAGCAGAAAAGGATGTACTCAGATCAGAGAGAAGTGTCCATCACCTAAGAACATTAGCAGAAAATAAAGGCATGCTGGGAATGGAAGGCGTTATACAGGTCTATCTCACAGCTGTGATTGATTTGCCAGTGTTTAGTCACCTCACGGTAGCTGCATAACCCAGTGGTTATTAAATGCAACTCCCTGTGTCCTGCCATGTGTGATTGGAAAAAAAACCTGCTTCAGGTGTAAATCCCAGGAACCTAGGGGTGCATGCACATACCTGCAGCAGCCTATTTTGTTTTTACAGATAATTACTGGGCTGCTGCGTAAACAGCAAACAACAACTCTACCTCAAAGATGTAGAACTTTGCTTGTTTAGAGCAGTCCAGCATCTGTCTATAAAAGCAGGGTATTAGAGGCCACCACAAGTATGTGCATGCACATATAGGCAGGTAGCCACCCAGGAGACAGTCCAGGGACACTTGGCAGCAAGAAGGATTTCAGTATTGGGATATCAAGATTGTTGCAAGCCACAAATGTAATATTTTAGGTATGTATGTGGAATGGGGAAGAGAGGGATGTTGTTGTCCAGAGGGACTGGACAGGCAGGACATCTGTGATTCATATGAAATATGTTATCCTTTCAAATGTATTTCCACCTTTGCAGTCAAATTGGAGAAACCCCCTCTATATCATTGTGTGTTCCCATTTACACAGAATACTTAAAATAATTGTAGAAAATATGTTTTTCATTTGTAGTTGTTTCATACATATAAAAGGTTTATACATAGAGCTTGATGGGCAGCTTCTATTGCTTAGAATAGGTGGCAATGTGAACATAAATGATAGACTTGAGGGACAGTTTTTTTTTAAATTGCATCAACATACAATTTTAACCCTTTGATATCGGTTTACAACTGATAATAGAGAGATCGTTCAGCTCCGTATATACAAGGTTAAACATGGCAAATATTAACTCCAGGTTTTAGAAAAATTAACCCTTGCAGTGGGGCTACCCCCCTGGCTGCTAGACTTGTACACGCAACCTCTTCTCCCACGGGCCCTGGTGGTCTAATGACCTGTGATGTCATCACATTAGATGTAAAGATGCCACTAGACATACCACAACTGGACCGGGTGGAGGGGGGCCTGATAGAGGTGAGCAGTCACTGCCACAGGAATGAGGATCAGGTGAGCATTTCTTCTTTATTCCAGCCAGCCCCTAGACCAAAATGGGCAGTTAACCATTGCGTTAGTAGACCCACTGCAAGGGTTAAATCTTTCTAAAACTTGGAGTTCTTCTTTAAACATAAGCTCCTTTCTGAACATTACATATCAGTTCTTCTGGTCTTTTTTTTGTCTACATGGTTTTATTCAATGATGGAGTTCACATTTAATAAAATAGAGTATGAACTGATCTAACGGAGTCAAGTGGATGCCTCAAAAGTCTGTCATTTATATGCTTTATTCTTCTATGGTCAGTCCTAATGTTAGACTGAACCACATTGCCTGTTGTGGGAAAAGTACATATGTACCACCCTATTCAAGTCAACTCCAGAATTAGTCACCTTTAGCCTTCCTAATAATATTATTATACAACTTAATTTTCAGACCAGAAAATGGGCTTTGCTGAATTTCTGTTCTTTTCATCCTTACTGCTTCAAGGAGACTGTACTGCTGTATTGCAGCATATTCACCTAAGCATAGTGCCCATGCACAAACATTTTCAAGGAGAGCTGCCCCAAAAAGTTTCCTATAAGTAACACTATATTCTTTCACACTCCCCTCTGACCTGCACTGCATGAGTTTTAGCAAGGGTATTCCATTGACCTACTGCAAAGGATAGAAAGCATATCTAAACCCAAATTAAAAAAGGCTGTTCTAAGATTTGGTGTCTGCATTGGTTTTCTTTTTTTTTGCAGGCCAAGTACATTTTCTGCAAGTACAATACAATTCCTGTTGATCTTACAAAAACGCTAGGGAGGGTTTTGTTTTTTTTTTTTAGGGCTGGCCTTTGCGCTTTCTACTCTCATTAAGTAGAAAGCATCATTATCTAAGAGCCATCAGGGAACACGAGCCAAAAAAATAAAAATTAAGATGATGTATGACTATCTCTTGCCACCTACCCAAATTCTGACTGGCAGTTGTAGGTTCTTACATTGCAAGGCTTCATTAAAATAACAGAGCAGACTTTGCAACCTGAGACTTGCATAATGAGGGTCTAGCATAAGGTTAAACAGAGCTACAATTAAAAAGGAAAGTGGACAGCAGAATGCATAACAGAAAAAATAAATTCTGGCTTTGATTAGGCAAGAAAGGCTTTTATTTGTAACTTTGGCATACAAGTGAAATTTTTTAGTGTTTAGCAAGTTCAATTGGTTTTCACATTGGTTCACAGACTATTGCTGTGCATACATGTTTATTTTCAAATGACCACGATTATAAAAATCTTATCTTGCATTTTCCATGAGCTACAGCGTGTCATGTGTAAGTGTAAGTGTAATAGAAAAGAAAGCCCTTAGCCGTTCTACACCGTGTTGAAAGTAACATGCACTTTGTCTTACACATGCCAGCATACTATTGTGGTGATAAGTAGTCTCCTAATGCAATATTTTGGTGAAGTTGTAAAAAACAAAACAAAAAAAAAAAAGTCATCAGTTTTCAGTTACATACAGTCACAGTTACATGTATGCTACAGAAAGAAAATGCTACATCCAGAACCATAAAATAATGTATCAAGAAAAGTAAACCGAGATGTTATTTGTAAACTGATTTGACAGCTCCAAATGCTGCTAGCTGCATATATAAGGTTTAAGGATCTGATATCAGGAGGCTTCCAAAATCAGTAGTTCCACAATATACTAGGTAAAGCAATTAGATGACCTCTGATGGTTTGCACTGCTCAGAAGTCAGATTTCAGTTTTCCACATGCCAGAGGATAAAAAGGAAAGTGCATCTCCTATTCCGTTTCTTTGTCCTCCATTGTCTTAATGTTTTTTATCCAACCCCATTTCTTAAAGAAAAACTGTGGGCAAAACATTTCTTAACCCTTGCAGTGGGGCCACCCCTGCACTGCAAGGATTAACTGCTCATTTGGTCTAGGTGCAAAAAAGTTATACTAACCCAAACCTCAAAGCCAGTTGGCGGTTAGAGCACCCTCTCCAGCCTGTCTCCTACTCTGGTGCAGTATGGTATCTCCCTCAGTGTCCTATACACAATGAGGGGAATTTATCAAAACTGGAGCAGACAAAATCTGGAGCAGCTGTGCATGGCAAATCAGCTTCTTTCTTCAGTTTGTTGAATTGAGATTTGAAAATGAAAAAGAGAGAGAAGGTGATTGGTTGCCATGCACAGCTGCTCCAGATTTTGTCTGCCCCAGTTTTGCTAAATTCCCCTCATTGTATAGAACATGATGACTCACCGGACCTTAAACTGCTGCAGCGGTGGGGGAGAGAGGCTGGAAGAAAATTGGTCTAAGAGCCAGCCAGCCCCATGGATCGGATGAATATAACTTATTTTAGCACCTATACGAAAACAAGCACTTAACCCTTGCAGTGCGGAGGTAGCCCTTGCAGTGCGCGGGTAGCCCCACTGCAAGGGTTAAGAAAAGTATTACCCGGATTTCTTTAAGGGTCAGGTTAACTTTTATATCTGATATCTACAACCAAGACCAAAAGTATTCTCCCCAAGCCCTAATTTCAGTTGTATAAACTGCTATTCATAACTACTAGATGATTCCAACTTATTACCCATTTTATGTCACAGGAAATTGCTTTACATCCTTTGTTATATTGTCAGTCATAAGGCAAATAAATTAGTTCAAACATATACAATCACTTAAACGTATATTTTTACATGAACCTAATGTGAATTTCCCTGTATACTTTTGGCACTTAACCTATTAAACACCCCTTGAATTTAAATTGTTCCTAAATAAAAAATAAATCTATTGAAACTAAAAGTGGATATGTTTATGTGCTACAGTTCAATATTGATATAACTGACATTACAGAAATCCCCAAAGATGGCCTCCTCCTCCATTAGCAAAAACACAAAGGGGGCAGACCAATCTGGTCACATCTCATCCTTCACTTTATTGTGCTCGAGACACTATGTCCTTCAGCCAGGGGTCTGTACTAGAATTAGCTTTTATGCAATAAAGAATAATGAGTAAATCATAGAAACTAGGTTGGCAAATATTGTTCCTTAAAAATTATATTAGAGTTGTAGACAAGTACCCAAGTCCTAGCCCTCCTTCCACTGCTTACAGGTTCATTTAAAATAGTGGTACTGCCAATAGTGTTCTTGGCTATACAGCCTAAGACAGAACAAAGCATCAGTGCAAAGCTGGTCACTCACTTATCATGTACACTATACACTGAGTGGCCAGATTATTATGACCACCTGACGTTTGTAGGCAAATTAGCTATAATTTGGAGCTGAAGTTGCTAGAGGGCCAGACCATTATAAATAGGGAAGCAGGTTGTTTACCACGATAGTAGAAGTGATTTTTTTCCTGAAGATGTGGGTAAACAACGCGATTTACCAGCCTTTGAACGTGGGATGATTGTTGGCGCTCGGAGCCATGAGGCGAGTATCAGCAAAACAGCAGAATTCGTTAAATGTTCAAGAGCAGCTGTTGTTAAAGTGTTTAAAGACTGGACTGTCAGCCGAAAATCTGGGTCTGAACGTGCGAATTGTGGCCGTCAGCGACTAGTCAATGCCAAGAAGGCAAAAGGTGGCCCAACAAAGTACTGATGGGGTGGTCATACTAATCTGGCCACTCGGTGTATGCTCAATACCCCGTCCATACTAAACATTGTGGATGGGGGAACCAAACACACACACCTGGCTACTGCATTCTGACAGCAGTGGGTGTGCAGCTGTAAGAATACCCGGTCAATTCAGCCAATTGGCTGCAGTCACTGCTAGGACGAGAATCTTCGGACCAGCTCCTTCAACAGAAGTCAATTGAAAAATTCACTTTTGTGAAATTGAGGGGTGCCAATGTGGCCACACTCTAGAGCTTCACCAAAAATGGAGCAGTGTGTGGCCAGCAAAGAACAAGTCCAATTTAGAAAACAAGCAGAAAATGTAAGCAGCCCAATGCATTTCCAAGCAGCCATCTACAAATACCATAAATAAGAATTTTCATGTGTAAAGTGAAGCTGTGCTTTGCCCACAAGAGCAAAGTAACAGGTGTTCTTTAACGCTCCCCTACCCAGCAGCAAATACTTACCTTTTATTTGCTTTCCTACCACTACATTCAGTTGCCGGAAGCAACTGGCTCCAAACCACTCTAGTTAAAAAAGCTTACTCAGGCTGAGGACTGGAGGAAGGAGCGTCTGACATGCTTCTCCACACCCAGAAGTACCAGGTATTTTCTTTGCCTCTAGCAGCTGAATGGAGTGACATTGGAGCAAAGGAGAGCTAGAATGTGCTGCTGCGTAGGGCGGCATTAAATACATCTTTGCTCTAAGTTTGTGAAATGCAGATTATAATAAGCGCCTCACTGTAAGCGATAGTTGTGCCATTCAATCTGACACTAAGACAGATTAGTTGGGATAAAAAGTTTTAATGATTATGGTATAATCCTAAAGGACTTAAACTTCCTCTTTATGTGCCCAAGTGGAAAATGGAAGACAAGCATTAGAAATAAGTAAAAATACTTGATAACACTCAGGGCCAAATTTTTTAGCTCTGTTAGTACCTGTTGTACAGTATCTTATGTCAAGGAAGTTGCAAGGACCTACCGTAAACTGTTAATGTACTTAAATTGCCCATAGTAGTAATAAATGTTAATTAGGGCATGTCTTTTGCAGCGGGGAACCCACTTACAGCAAACTAGTATCAAATAAACGAAAAATAAAATGTTTCCAACAATAATTTATTTAGTTCCTGTTAAAGTATGAAAAGATATCAGTTTATCAAATGTGTTAACTGAAGAAAGATTTATAGTGGCACTTGCAGGTTACAGCACCTTGAATTGATACATAGGCTCAAAGCCTTGAAAAGAAAGAAGACTGTGTTACTACTAATAATGTAGTGCAAGAGATTTTCATGAGTTAAAATGACAAAGACAAATATTAAACTTGAGGTGCTGGAAGGTGTGTACAAAAGAATGATAAAGTATAATGACAGAACAGTAACATTCTCAACAGCAAAGAAAAAAAAAAAACCTATATTGCAAGTCCAAAGGCACTGACTATACAGTACATAGTCTTGTTCTCCCATCTTACGGTGCAGCTTCCTGTAGAGAGAGGAAACAGGAAAATGACAAAATTACAGAAGTATCTCATACGAATACCATTCAGTACAGTCAGTGATCCATGCGTTCTGCTCACTACAGGGCAATGCTGACCACAGAAATGCAGCATTTTAAACCATAATGAATGAATTTAAACTAAACCTAGTATGTCTTATTCCACACACAGACTACTGCAGAAGCAGACCTTACTAACCAACGACATTTTACACAACAGGAAAAACAAAATCCTTACCATCGGTGGAGTTGTCCCAGAAACAAGAGCTTGCTGTGTGAAGTCCTGCACCATTCTTCTGCATGATTACACAGGTAACTGTCAATAAAAGGTATTCATTGAATAAAGTATTCTACAGAGAAACAATACAATTGCGGAAAAGGAAATTTCTTATGATCTTTACAAGAGTGGTTCACATTTTTTACTATTAGAAAATAAATACTGAGGCCTGCAGTTGTTCCTACAAAGCACAGTCAATTATCCTCATTAGCCACTAAGCTCCTTTCTACACGATACTAATCACATTTTACTGATGTGTACAATGGTATAGACCAGGGGTCAGCAACCCGCGGCTCCAGAGCCGCATGTGCAGTGCAACGGTGGAGCCCGAGCTTAACACAGTCAAGCGATCGAGCGTCTCTATAGACGCTCGATCGCTTGTATTAGCAGCTGTCACTGCCGTTGCCGGTCCCGAGATCCGCTGTGCCCGATGCGGCCAGGACCGGCACGGCTCTGTGACAGGAGATCAAAAGGGAGTTCAGTATACGAACTCCCTTTGATCTCCTCTCAGTCCCCGAATGCATTCAGTGTCACTCTCCAGCTAGAGAAGCTGATGAAGCAGATCTCTGCTTCATCAGCTTCTCTGGGGGTCCCTAGGTGACATTAGGGGTCTTGGAGACCCCTGACCCTGATGTCTCCATAAAGAGGACCTGTCATGTAAATTAGCTATCCCATAGGGGGCTTCCTAGCCCCCCCATGTAATAGCAATAAAAGTTGTGTGTAAAAAAAAAAAAAAGTAATACAAAAATTAAAGAATCATAAAAAAAAAAAGAAAGCATAAAAGAAAATTGAAAAAGAAAACATACACACACAGATACATACACATGCAGATATGCGTCAGGTGTGCCTACGTGCAAAAACGACGATTGCGCCTATTGTGCCGCACATGTTACATATCGCCGCAAAAGTCGGAGTGAGAGCAATAATTTTTTTTTTTTTTTTTACATTTATGGTACTTTTTTCATTATATAGTTTAAAAAAAATAACCCCCCCCCGTGGGGTCACAAAAGAAAGCTCTATCTGTCCCCAACATTTTTAACATAAATTGCAAGGCTATAGTCTGGTCATGCTGACTGGTGAAATTTTTGACTGACTGGTGAGACACCGTCAAATTTTTCAAGCCCTGCGCATGTGGTTCTTTCATCCCTCTGCTGTGGCTCCCTGTCCAGGGGCGGAACTACCACCAGGGCCTCCGTACGGGTGTAACTGCACACTTTGTGCTGCTATTTCATTTAATTAGAAAAGTGGATTAAATGGGAACGTTACACTGTAATATAATCTATTTCTCTGATGAAATGCTTACAGACAGGGCTGCTGTTCTATCAAAGTTTGTGACTAGGTTGGAATGTGTGACCAGTGACGTGGTCACACATTTCAATGTAAACCCTCCCAGTTTTTCGGCGGTGGAATGTGTAACCACCAATAGGTGAAGCATTCCAACGCTTTCTCAGCTCTTCCAGGGCAGATCGGCATCGCAAATCGTATGTGCAGGAGAACCGATCTGCCCTGGAACAGCTCTTAGGTCCTGAAATGTCACTTCTATCCGACTTTGCGAGTACGGTGGAATGTGAGATCGCACTCAGAGTCGGATAGAAGTGACATTTCAGGACCGAAACAGCTGTTCCAGGGCAGATCTGTTCTCCTGCACATACGATTTGCGATGCCGATCTGCCCTGGAACAGCTGAGAAAGCGTTGGAATGCTTGACATATTGACGGTCACACATTCCACTGCCAAAAAACTGGGAGGGATTACATTGAAATGCGTGACCACATCACCAGTCACACATTGTTACGTAGTCACAAACTGTGCTAGAACACCGACATCAGGGGGGGTACGGCCGGTACCCATGTGAGGGGTCTGGGCAGCCCGAGGGGCCTCTTACATGAGTATCAGCAGTACCAGGGGCGGCATGGCAGAGGTGACAGGGGAGGGGGTGGAGGAGGCCAGGCCCCAGCAGGTAAGAGGAGTTGGGAGGAGGTACAGGGAAGGGACCCCGGTGACCAGCCCACTTGAGGCCCTGCAGAGCCCACCATAGAGCATCTCAGATGGGCTGTGCAGGATCTATAGTGTGCTCTGCAGGGTCTCAGGTAAGCCCAGAGTCCAGCGCGTTACTAAGGCCCAGAGTCCAGTGCGTTACTAATCCCAGAGCGTTACTAAGGCCCAGAGTCCTTTGCGCTACTAAGGCCCCAGAGTCCATCGCGTTACTAAGGCCCCAGAGTCCAGCGCGGCACTAAGGCCCCAGAGTCCAGCGCGGCACTAAGGCCCCAGAGTCCAGCGCGGCACTAAGGCCCCAGAGTCCAGCGCGGCACTAAGGCCCCAGAGTCCAGCGCGGCACTAAGGCCCCAGAGTCCAGCGCGGCACTAAGGCCCCAGAGTCCAGCGCGGCACTAAGGCCCCAGAGTCCAGCGCGGCACTAAGGCCCCAGAGTCCAGCGCGGCACTAAGGCCCCAGAGTCCAGCGCGGCACTAAGGCCCCAGAGTCCAGCGCGGCACTAAGGCCCCAGAGTCCAGCGCGGCACTAAGGCCCCAGAGTCCAGCGCGGCACTAAGGCCCCAGAGTCCAGCGCGGCACTAAGGCCCCAGAGTCCAGCGCGGCACTAAGGCCCCAGAGTCCAGCGCGGCACTAAGGCCCCAGAGTCCAGCGCGGCACTAAGGCCCCAGAGTCCAGCGCGGCACTAAGGCCCCAGAGTCCAGCGCGGCACTAAGGCCCCAGAGTCCAGCGCGGCACTAAGGCCCCAGAGTCCAGCGCGGCACTAAGGCCCCAGAGTCCAGCGCGGCACTAAGGCCCCAGAGTCCAGCGCGGCACTAAGCCCAGAGTCCAGCGCGGCACTAAGCCCACATAGCATAAAGGTAAAAAACGATATATGACGTGTTATCTTCATTTTAGATGTCAAAAGGGTTTTGTGGCTCCCGATGTTTTCTTTTCTGTGGGAAACGGGTCCAAATGGCTCTTTGAGTGTTTAAGGTTGCTGACCCCTGGTATAGACTGACTGATAAAATATTACCTGGACACTTGACTCTAAGGCATGCATCCTGGGTATAGTAGGAGGAAGATTACAATACACACCATTACCCCGACTGCTATTTATTGCATGGAAACGTATACCTCAAAGATGGATATCTCCCACCTTTCCTACCTTTAATCTATGGATACAATCTGTCAATAGTGTCATTTACAAGGAAAAACGTACACATCAGCACGGGAATTGTCCACAAAAAAATGACACCTTGGGAAAGATGCTTGGAGAAACTAGGCCTAGTACCGTCACTCTTCATTTTACAAATAGTTGCATATTGTTAACAATAACTGAACCACCTGTAAAGCAGAAGCTAAGGGGGCAGCAACGTAACACAACATTTAGGCCAGTTTAGGCCAAAGACACTTTATTCCAACACAACAGGCGTGTTAATATTTTACAGTACAGGAGGTACTGTAGCAAAGATACTCAGTGTTATACAAATGATGTTTAATATCATTTGTATAACACCATTAGGATACAGCCGGATAGCCATTGGAAACGCGCGTTTCTTTTACCGCAAATCACGGTAAAAACGCGCGGCAAACTCGCATATTCCATACGCCTAGGTGTGAGCCCATCCTAACTAAAAAGTGTCGGTGATTTCAGCAAAGAACGCGGGACCGTTCAAGAAACTTTTGGACGATTTCTTAAGGGACCGTAATATACAGGGGTACAGGTACTCCTAGAATGAGATCCTAATAGGTTGGAATTGATGGTCTAATGTCTTTATTCAACCTCAAATACTATGTAACATCAAAAATTATCAGTGAAAGAATTGAACTTGGCAATTATAGCCTGTGAAAAACAATTCTAGGAGGATGAACCACAATGTAACTAGCAAAAAGATATTCTGTATCAGTTGTTAAGTGATACTTAATAACAGTTCCGAAATGTAATATCAGTGTGTGGGCGAGGGGGGTTGTGTTTTGTTTTTTTAGTTCATTTTTCTACAGATTTGTTTGGTTTTTTTTTATCTTTTACTGTTGGAGGGGCCTATGGGAAATATTAGGGGTCTAAAAAGACCCCTGACATCTCTCTTTTGAAATTCTTTTTCTGCACTAAATGATGCAGTGCGATGTGTTCGAACAACACATTGCAGCGCATGTGCATGACGTACACCACAATATGGTGCACGTGTATCTTATGTGTGTGTGTGGGGGAGGGTTTTGCTTTTTTTAATTTTTTTATTATTACTGTTGGGGGGCTTCGGGGGAATATTATTGGTCTAAACAGACAGCTGACATTTCCCTTTTGAAATTGAAAACGAAATTGAGGGCACAGAGTCCTCAATTTCTTTTTCTGCAGCCTCAGCACTCAATGAATGGGAAGCACTCAGTACAGAGGCTACCCATTCATTCAGAAAATGCGGATAGTAAAAATATTTCCTATCAAGCGGTCTCTGAATGGGGAGGAGCCTCTGTAGCGAGTGCTTCTCCCCATTGAGGAAAACATGAACAGGAAGTGATGTAAATCACATCCTGTTCATACATACTGGGGACACCCGGTGTTTGTAAATAACTGTCCCCAGTTATTTACAAACACCGGAGTGATCAGACAATCACTCCGGTATTTGCTCTGCACACAAGAGGATCGTTAAATAGGGACAGTAAGGGGAACAGCTAAAGCGACCATGAACTTACAGCAGAACTGTATAGCAGAATCTGTACCGCAGCGCTGAATACTGAAAAATGGCCTGGATGGGAAGGGGGTTTAACACCGCGGATGTCAACTGGTTAACAGGGCTTAGGCTGCATTGATAAATGAGGTGCAAATAAGGAGGAAAAAAAGTCATTTAATGAGATAGGACAGAAAACTGTCGCAAGTTCCTTGATAAATTCCCCCCTGTGTGTTATGTGTAGAGGGCTGCTGCAAACCATAAAAATCAAACCTTGCAGCATACCAGCCCCTACACAACACTCAAACTTCTGGGCACTGAGGGGGAAGGAGAGATGCGACCCCAGATATCAAGTGCCCTACTTGCATCCCTTCCCCTCTTTGCTACTTGCCCATTCACAAAATGCCTTGTATTTTTCTCAAAGAATACAAGGTGTTCTGTGATAGGAGGAAGAGAAGAGAGGGTGGGGATGTGACATCATTTTACATTGAATAAAATCAGCAGAACTATAACCACCGGGGTTTAAAGGTCTCAACATATCCATTCCTCTTCCCTTGTCTAGGTCCACCTACTGGCCTCTTCTATCCCTATGACACTGAACTGACATCACTGACTTTAATATAAGCAGTGCATAATAAGATTTAGGAAGAGTGCTGGAACTATACAAACAGGAGGTAGAGCAGGTTCAGTGAAACTACATGCACTCTACTGAAATAATCTATTTCCATGTGTTAACCTGTGGGCTTTGCCATATAAATGTACCATTGAAGAGAAGTTGTGCTTTAAAAAACACAGATATGAGACACATACCGATGTACTTGAATGGCTTGCCAAGTTTTGTCAGTTGGCTCAGTGTTTGCTCCACAACATTTGTAGTCCACTGATTGACTTTGTTGTGCTGATAAGCATTACCACCAATAGCACTTTCTATGGACTAAAAAGAAAAAACAAAAGCAGGAGTTACAAAACTTCAAAAGACTTTTAGGTTTCTTATAATGGAATTTTGCATCGAATACATTTCCTTTTTTCTTTACAAACCATTAGTATAAAAACAAATAGTATATATGTAATACAAATCCAAAGTAAAACATATGCACAGCCTTTACTTTTACATTAAAAAAAAAAAAAGCTTTTTTTTAAAAGTAATTTTACTACTCTTACCTCTTTGATGATGTTGCTTACTTCATCTACCACAAATGATGACTGAAAGAGAAAGAAAAAAAAATACTTTTAGAGAATTGTAAAGACATTATTCTATATACAATATGAAGATGTTATAAGTGCTAACCTTCAAACCTGGGTAACAGAGGCAAAGCTATTGCCACAAAAATGCTGCCTAAACCCTACATAGTCACTAGGGCCAACATCTCCCATTTTGTTCCTATTTTAAAAATAGGCCCTTGTTTTCCCCACTTCCTCCCATAACTATTCATATACAACATTTTAGGTCAAACTAAAAGCTCCTTAGAGAGACATCTACAGCCCATTTAAAGTCTACCTGAGCGCCACTTCTGTTGACCATTTAAAGAAAATGGAATCAGGCTTGAAGAACTGGGTTTAATGGTTTCCGTGGATCCTAAAGTACATGCAGAATACTCAGTTGCAGGCTCTACATAATCAAAGAACTAAGATGTATCTGATTTTTATCTCCTATGTACATAGTGTGTAGAGCGCCCATAAGGTATATTTTTTGTATAAGGACAAGTAGATTGGACCCCCGCTTTAGTCCTTGGACAAGTAGGTTTTTAAAAAAAAATTCCACACCCCTGAGAGCCCATCCCAAACAATGCAGGTGAACCTGAACGTTATGTTCCTTTGCTTACAGGTCTAGTTGTGAACAGTTTAAAGTCATCAGCTCATTCTAATACAATCAGGTAACAACATTACGGTAGCTCCATAGTAACGATAAACAGAGAATACTCGCTGTGTATGTATCCAAGACATTAATTCATCAAGATTAATGACAGTCATTTACTGTGCTGCATACTAGGGTTGCACAGAAACCAAGTACAGTACTCGGTACAAGTACAAGTAGAATGTGCCGATACTTTTGAGCTCCAAGACTAGACTAGAGAAAAATTCAAAAGTTAGGAGGCAGCTGTCATTTGTAAGGAGCACACGGAGCTCCTGGGATTTGTACATCTCCGTTTTAATGTATGATTTTGTTTTTATAAATATAAATAAAGGGATGCACAGATAACAGTTTTGTGAGTACGAGTACTGGTACTTGCCGAGTACTTACAAGTACGAGTACTGAATCATTTTTGTTTATTGTCATGTGACAGTTTTTCTTAAAAACAATGCAGACTAATGATTTCAGGACAGTGGTGGAGTGCCAGAGCTATGTCCCAGCTGCAACCGCTGCAACCCTGGTAGTTCATGAAAATGCCAAGTATCTGCACTGGTACTCGAAAAGTATCTGTGCATCCCTACTGCATACAATTCCCCAGGTGAAATCAAACTTTTTTTAACGGTATATTAAAAAAAATTATAAATGCACACAGTTAAAAAGGAAAAATGTGCATTGGTTATCTTTTTGCTTCACAGCCAGTAAAGCATTGCAACTGCAAACAGTGGATTGCAGGTACAGTGGTTTGGCTCCTGCAGACTTTTCCTGCCGTCAGTAACCGGGACGAGAGCAAGTGTCAATGGACTACAAGTGCAGTGACGTCCCCACATTTGTATTCCATTGAGGACTACAATTCCTTCTGCTGCGGTACAGGCGGGACTTCTAGTTTCTCCTGTCAAAGGATCAGTGAGTAAATGAAAGAAGGAATGAAGGATGCAGTCATGCCAGATTTAAAAACTAGCAGCAACCTTAGCAGAGGTGGGGACGATGTCAGCACAGTTCATAGCTTGTGAGGGTTTCAGGTAATAGCCTATTCCCAGCCCTTACACTGATATGGCAAAGATTGAATACATTGTATGAGATTTCATCTACAGCTCATTATGTACCCTGCTTTTCACTAAAACCTCTAGGCTGATGTGGTCCTGTTTCCACTTTCTAACCACAGCTGGCCAAACCAGTTTGGACATTTTTACATGTACCAATAAATCACACAGAACACAATGTAATAGAACCTTTCAACGAATGTTTGGTTTTTGTGTACATTAGTGGATTCTACACTGAAACTATTTTTTTTCCGTACACAAATATAGATAACTACATATACTCTTTTACATTGAATAGTTTACATTTCTGTGCAGTAATAACAGGTTTTATATTCAATTACAATTTTTTAGGAACAGCCTGGGATGTAGACATTCAAATACTTTACTTTAGGCTCCATTTAAACCTAACAATCAGCATAGCCAGGCAACTTAGAGGCTTTTTTTTGTTTTAAGGGTTTTGTAGTACATGAGTAGATTTGTGCGTTTTTGGCCCCACAGACTTTAGGGCTTGTTCACACAATTTTCTGGTGCAGATCTGCAGACGCGGTGCTATGCATGCAGTGCGTTTTTACCGCATTCCAGTAAAAAATAAAAAAGTGGGGCTGTCAGTATGTTAGCTGCAGTGCGATCAGTGCGTTTTCGTTGCGTTTGACGCGTTCGTGCATTTCCAGACCGGACAAAATGGGACATGCAGTATTTTCTCTGTCCGGACCGGACTGCGCACATGAGAACTGTAGCCCATAAAACACATACATTGGCATTTTGGGTGCAGGAGCGCACAGTTCTGGTCCGGACACAATCCGGATGTCGTGTGAACAAGCCCTGAAACAGGAATGCCTGTGCGTCTGCCATTTGCTTCACTTGTGTGACCCTGTTCAATAAACATCTGAAAGGGATTCTCTCGTTTAAATGCTCTGGGATTAAAGAAAAGTTTCATTTAACCAGGAAAACACTCGCCATTTATACAACGGATAACTCAGAGTGCTGCATTCTCTCCTGATACCCATAGTCTGTAAACACTAATATAAAACAAAAAGGAGTCACCCAATAAACTGTCTTTGCTACTTAATGGTGTCCCCTGATGTTTTCAATGGGCACAACAGTCACATTTTAAATAAAACCGAACAATATAACAATCAAGAACCAAACAGAATGGTTCTCAATCACAGTGATCGCTGGAAGTTTGTTTGAAAGTTAGATTCCAAACAAACATTTCTGTCAAAAGATGTCATTGTGTCCCTCTACGTATGCACCTACCAGAGAGAATAATATACAGTGTTGAGGTGCCCATAAACCTTACGATTATCGGCCGATTTTCGTATGCGATCTCGTTTTTGTCCGATATCCGTAAGATTGATGGGCAGTGTATAGCCGCAAATACCGTACAATCGATTTACTTTCGACTATCCAGCAGGTTAGAAAACTTTGGTCAATCGTATGATTTTCTTAAGGTTGGTGGCGCATCCGTACGTCAAAATTTGTACGATTAACACTGCTCATGCACAAACGAAGATATGTGCGGTCGATTACTGCAATTCGTCCGGGTGTTTTTTTTACAAGCCGATTGAACCTTGTGACAAATCGGGGCAGGATGGGGCCGCCGTATGAAAATCGTACGACGGTTCGATCATTGGACGAAAAGTTTCACCCGATAATCACAAGGTGTATGGGCAGCTTTAGATGATTTAAATACAGTTAATAGCTTCCCCTATATTACCAATTCCCATTATATTTATTCCTAGGCAGGTAGAAATTGTTTTACCTAGAACACAATTAGTGTAAGTTAGTAAAGTGGGTAGGATCATTCATTATTTAAAGCTGATCTCCAGGGCGAGGAGCTGTAGATGCTGCAACCTAGCAGGTGTCATCAGACATTTACAATTGTAGAAGAGAAGACCAGGTGAAACCTTATAAAGCAAGGGGAGGGAGAGGGATCTATAGATTATCATATAGATCTATATATATATCTATATATAGATTTCTAGATAGGCAGAGCCAGCTGTCACTCACGCAGCTGGGCGGATCCAGACATAATTGTCGGGATCCGCTTTAGCTGCGGCGTCTCAGTATACCGCAAGCTGAAGCTCAGTATAGCTGAAGCTCAGTATACCGCGAGCTGCAGCTCGCAGTATACTGAGCTTGGGGTGATGGGAGGACGTTACCCTTAGGAGAACTATGGGGAAAAGCCCTGACCCCATAGTTCTCCTTTAATCACTGATAACACTTAACTGATGAACAGTAAAAACGTTTTAATCGTCGCCTATGGGCGTATTTTGCGATTTTTTTTTTTGCGGACGCACGCAATTTAATGCTTGACATGTTTGGTGTCCATTTACCCGACGTGACCCTGACTTTTATGTTTTACTAAAAATATGGGTAAGAATAAATGTTTTATAACATAACGTAGGGAAACTTTTTTGTTTTTTTTTACATTTATGGCACTTTTTAAATTATATAGTAAAAAAAAAAAAAATACCCCCCGTGGTGATTATATACCTCCAAAAGAAAGCTCTATCTCTCCCCAAACTTTTTTAACATAAATTGCAAGTCTATAGTCCGTTTGACTGACTGGTGAGACACTATCAAATTTTTCAAGCCCTGGATATATATCTTAAAGTGAATCCATGCCCAAACTACGCACACTAAAGATTCATATATTATAAAACAAGTCTCATTCACCTCTGTAGCTCTAGGCTTTGTGAAGAAATTAATCTCTAAAGCTCACAACAAAAGAACTAAAATGTTAGCTGTTTCTCTATTATTCCTATTGCACACAACCATTCATTACTATTGGATGGCTGCACACAACAGATGTGTATGCTGAGTGCGGAAATATGGCCATAATTTAGGTTATAAGGCTGCATGCACCTGTGTGGCCCAAGCTTTTAAGGTGCCCATACACCTTACAATTATCTGCAGATTTTCTGTGGTCAGATGGAAAAAGTGCAGCAGATTGGCCCAGGTGGAGATTACTCCATACACACAGTTAAGTGTAGATGGAGGAATCTGTTGCACCTTTTCCATCTGACCACAGAAAATCTACAGATAATTGTAAGGTGTATGGCCAGCTTTAGAAACTGACTTTAGGGTCTTTGCTGTGACCTTTAAGGTAGTTTGAGAATGAATTACTTCAGAGTACATGCAGCTGAACAAAGTCAGGGATAAGTTGACACTATTTGACAGCTGGTTTGCAACGGCCGCACACAAAAATGTTTTTTTTTAGCATGAAGATGGTGTTTGCTGGTGGCGGCGGGGCCTTCAGTTGTTCAGTTGCAAAGCAATGTTTACTTTTTATTAATAACTTTATTGGCTGTGTACAGAGTGGACATGCCATTCAGGTGTGCTGCGCTTCAGTGGCCTCCGATGGCATCTAGTGCGCTTTAGAAAATTTTGCATGCCCGGAATTTTCTGTACCATCTAAACTGCACATCACACCAGTATTGTAGTGTGAACGGGATGCTTGGAAGACAATTGTTTTTGTGTGCCCCTACGGTGACTGGCCTTAATCCAGTGCGGAAAAACGCCAGTCACCGCAACTGGAGTGAATGAGCCCTTACTGCTTGTTAAGAATACATAAATAATTCTACCCAATAGCTTGGGCATAGGTGCAGCTTTAATGGTCATTGCTGGTCCAATGCGGTGCTTTACATGCATTGAATTAAGGCAGACCATTTATTTGAATGGGCTGCCAATGCACCAAAACAGGTTGAAGATTGGACCATGACAATTTTCTTTCTGATGCAGCACACCACAACACATGGTAGTGCTTTACCTATGATGTGGTGTAGTGCAGGGAATGTGTGTAGCATTTGGACGAATAAGCCCCTATAGAGGGTGAAAGGAGTCAGTCAAAGAAGAAGAGTCTTACTCACTTGTTCTAATAAAGCAGTTTGGAAGCAGAGTGTAATATGGGTGTGAAGCCTGGTCAGTCTGCTTCTTATTTATACTCATGAGGAGATGAGACCTGGAGAAGGCCTGGCACCCATGAGGATGGTTACTGGGATAGATCATGTGAAAGTTGCTGCATTGGTGTGTTATCTTAGTGTGTTGGTATGCATTTAAAAGCAAAGTTTACCTTTCTGACCATGTTTCATGTAACACCTATATTTAAGGTGTCTCATTTTTTTTCTAAAACGTGAAATTTTCCTTTAAAAATAAATAGCACTGCAATGCACTAGTACAATGGATAGGTCTGAATAGGTCTTAAGTACGGCCTCTCACCTACATGTGAATGCACAGGTTACTGCAACACACAGTACTGCATCAAGAACGTTCGTATTTTGCAGAGCCATTCATTTTTGCAGTCACTGGCACCAATGCTGTGGGGTTATTATTGCAACCACATACACCAGCGCTGGGGGGGTCATCATTGAGGCCACTGACACCAACGCTGGGGGGGGGTCATCATTCCAGCCACTGACACCAACGCTGGGGGGCATCCTTTCAGTCACTGACCCC